AATCCAAAAATTAGCCTGATGTGGTGGCACATGCTTGTAATTCCAGCTACTCGGGAGGCTGAGGCACGAGAACTGCTTGAACCCAGGATGTAGAGGTTGCAGTGAGCCAAGATCATGCCAGTGCACTACAGCCTGGGTGACAGAGTGAAACCATCTCAAAAAAAAAAAAAAAAAAAAGTAGGCAAAGGATATGAACAGACACTTCTCAAAAGGAGACATTTACGCAGCCAACAAACATACAAAAACAAACCTAACATCACTGATCATTAGAGAAATGCAAATTAAAACCACAATGCAAATTAAAACCACTCCTATCTCATGTCAATCAGAATGGAGATTATTAGAAAGTCAAGAAACAATAGATGCTGGTGAGGCTGTGGAGAAATAGAAATGCCTGTACATTGTTGGTGGGAATGTAGATTAGTTTAACCTTTGTGGAAGACAGTGTGGCAATTCCTCAAGGATCCAGAACCAGAAATACGATTTGACCCAGCAATTCCATAACTGGGTATATACCAAAGGAATATAAATCATTCAATTATAAAGATACATGCACAGGTTTGTTTACTGCAGCACTTTTCACAATAGCAAAGACATGAAACCAACCCAAATGCCCATCAATGATAGACTGGATAAAGAAAATGGTGTACACATACACCATGGAATACTATGCAGCCACAAAAGGGAATGAGATCATGTCTTTTGCAGGGACATGAATGAAGCTAGAAGCTATCATTCTTAGCAAACTAACACAGGAACAGAAAACCAAATATGGCATGTTCTCACTTATAAGTGAGACTTGATCAATGAGAACACATGGACACAAGGAGGGGAACAACACACATTGGGGCCTATCTGTGGTGGGGGGGCAGGTCCAGGGGAGAGAGAGCATCTGAACAAATAGCTAATGCATGTGGGTCTTAAAACCTAGGTTGTGGGTGATAGGTGCAGCAAACCACCATGGCATACGTATACCTATGTAACAAAACTATACATCTTGCACACGTATTCCAGAACTGAAAGTTAAAAATGAAAATAAATAAAAATTTAAAATATCCAAAATGCTAAAAGTTTATTTACATTAAAATTATCCAAAAATATAAAATTCAATAAAAATAAAATGTATTTCAGCATTTATGTAATGCATATATAAGAATTCCATATATATGCAATATATGATAAAACATACTGCAATATATATGTCATGTTATGGCAAATGCAAGAGAGGAAAAGAACTTGCATATTGAGTACAAGAAAAAAACACCCAGTGGAAGTTGAAAACAACATTCTGGCTGGCAGTAAATTACACAGCTGGTGCCATTTGGGGAGTAAAAAGGAAAAACATATTTAAAGCCTGCTGATTTTTTTTAGAAGGCTCCAAAAAAACAACCCTCCAGTTTCTTAAAAATAATTTTTTGCTAACTGAAATGCTCTCTGTTTGCCATATAGGTTTAATAACTTCAGTCAATATTTCAAGGAGTCTTTTATTTTAGAACTTGAAAAAATATGATACTAAAAATTATATAGTGTGATTAGGTGAGAGCAGAAAGCAATGGGCAGGGAAAAGCCCTATCAATAATTCAAATATATTATAAAATGACAAGAAATTTTAAAGTACAGTAGCAACATAGGAATAAAAGACAATGAAATATAATATAAAGCATAGAAATATGCCTTATTTTAAGGTTTAATATTAGATGGAGAAATCACAAATCCATAAGAAGAAAATTTTTTTAATGGTGGCAATTTATAAATTTTGAAAAAAATTAATTTAAATGTTCACTTCACCCTATTGTTCCAAATAAAATCTAAACCAATTGAATATTAGAATCATAAGAAATTAAAACCAAAGGCAAAAAAGTAAGAAGTAAACATTTGTCAAATATCTGATAAAACATGCTAAACACATAAGTAACACAAATATAATAATGTTACATGTACGTACCTTAAAAAAAAAAAAAACTGAAATGCAAACAAAAATAACAAACTGGAGAAGGAAGATTAGCAGCAAAAATGACCAAAAAATGAGATATTTTTTTACGATACAGAAAGTTCATACAAATCAATAAGAAAATTGAAAATGAGCAAATTATATCAGGCAGCAGTTCTCTAATGAAGAAATAAAAGTAGCCAGTGAAATGTTAGAAAATGGCCAGGTGCTGTATGTCAGGCCTGTAATCCTAGTACTATTGGAGGCTGAGGCAAGCGGATCACTTGAGGTCAGGAGTTTGAGACCAGCCTGGCCAACGTGGTGAAACCCCATCTCTACAAAAAATACAAAAATTAGCCGGACATGGTGGCACGTGACTGTCATCCCAGATACTTGGGAGGCTGAGACAGAAGAATCGCTTGAACCAAGAAGGTGGAAGCTGCAGCAAGCTGAGATCGCGTCACTGCACTCCAGCCTGGAGACAGAGAGAGACAATGCTAGAGAGAGAGAGATCGTGTCAGTGTACTCAGCCTGAAGACAGAGTGAGACTCTACCAGAGAGAGAGAGAAAGAAAGAAAAGAAGCATGGTTATAATTTTACACTTGTAATTCTAGCACTTTGGGAAGGCCAGGCGGGCAGATCACCTGAGGTCAGAAGTTTGAGACCAGACTGGCCAACATGGTGAAACCCCATTTCTACTAATACAAAAATGAGCCAGGTGTGGCAGTGGGTGCCTGTAATCCCAGCTACTCGGGAGGCTGAGGCAGGAGAATCACTTGAACCTGGTAGGCGGAGGTTGCAGTGAACGGAGATCAGGCCACTGCACTCCAGCCTGGGCAATCAAGTGAGACTCCCTCTCAAAAAATAAAATAAAATAAATCCATTACTGCAAACTGACAACTGAAATAAACACCCAAGGGCAATAGCTCAGTTAGCTCAGTAACACTGTTGTCACATATGCAGTGCATCAGTTTAAAAAAAGTGAGAACTGCCTGTAATCCCAGCTACTCAGAAGGCTGAGGCAGGAGAATCACCTGAACCCAGGTGGCAGAGGTTGCAGTGAGATGAGCACTGTACTCCAGCCTGGGCAACACAGTGAGACTTTGTCTCAAGAAAAATAAATAAATAAAAATTAAAAAGTGAGAACTACAGAAGTGTTCAGAGAGATTTTTAGAAGACTGTGACAGCACCTGTTTAAAATTATTCTTGCTAGTTGTGGTGATGTGAGCCTGTAATCTCAGCTATTTGGGAGACTGAGACAGGAGGACCTCTTGATCCTTAGAGTCCAGCCTGGGCAACACAGTGAAAACCCCATCATTAAAATTAAAAAAAATTAATATATAAAGATATTCTTTATTAGGTAATATGCATATACAAGGTACAAAATTTAAAAGTAGAGAAAGATGTGCAGTGAAAAGTAAATTTCCCTCCTGCCTTAGTTCCCCACTCAAAAGGAAAGAACTGCTACCAGTTTCTCAGAGCTAAAACTATCTTATGTAACTTTTCTTCCCCAAAACTTGTTTGTATTTCCATTTCAGTTTTCTATAACCTTAATCCACACACATACTCTACATAGTGTAGTCATAAACAGGACTGTACTAGACTACAAATTTAATCCTCTGAAAGGGGGTTAAAGGCTAGTATAATGAGTAGGAAACTGATAAAGTCACCCAACTGTCAAGATGGCATTAATGGGCTTTGGATACTATTCTTCATTATGAAAGAAAACTCACTTTTATCAAGGTGTTTTTTAGGATTAGATTGGTTTATTTGAACCAATCACCATATCAAGGAGAGTGCGGTTAGCCTGAGTTAGGCAATTCAGGCATGCCCCTTAGAGCTGGGGTCAGCCCCAAGCCATAAAGACTATATATTGGAACAAGGTGGAAATTGACCTTGTTTGGTCAGCCTCAGTGTCCAATACACCAAAAATCTATCTGTGACATTGACACAAACATGAAGAAGTCACAAGTATTTGATTCTTAATTTAGAAAAACAAAGTACACAACCTGCCTCAGACTGTGTGGAGAAAATAAGGATATTTACTTATACAGGGTTAGGCAAAGTTTTTCTATGAACGTAATAGAAAATTACTTAATTGTTATAAAATTTCAATAGTCTCCCCTTACCTGTGGAAGTTACAGTCCAAGACCCCCCGTGGATGCCTGAAATGCAGATAGTACTAAACCTGATTGCCATTGATAACCTACACGTCACATTTGACATTTTTCTTTAAAAGTAAATAGGCAGCCGGGCACGGTAGCTCATGCCTGTAAGGCCAGCACTTTGGGAGGCAGAGACAGGCAGATCACTGGAGGTCAGGAGTTTGAGACCAGCCTGGCCAACATGGTGAAACCCAATCTCTACTAAAAATACAGAAATTAGCCTGGCAGATGGCCATAATTAGGTGGCAGAGGGCTGTAATCTCAGATACTTGGGAGACTAAGGCAGGAGAATTGCTTGAAACTGGGAGGCAGAGGTTGCAGTGAGGTGAGATCATGACACTGTGCTCTAGCCTGGGCAAGAAAGCAAGACTCTGTCTCAAAAATAATAAATAAATAAATAAATAAATAAGTAAACAGACTTCCAGATTAACAGCCTAGGGAAGGTTTTATAATTCATGGCAACACCCTGTCCGTGAGTAAAGAACCTTATCATAGGTCCCTCAAATTGTGGATGTTAATGCATAACCTACTGAAAAGGACGGTAATTTATTTCAGAATCATAACGTTTTACTGACCATCATGCATGTGGATATTAATATTTTAGCCCATATGTTGCAATCAGTATCAAAAATTGCAACCTCTCTATTGTATCCTCCAATAAAAATGCACAACTATGGTATGAGGAGTCATACCATATTAATGCATAACCACTGAAAAGGACAGTAATTTATTTCAGAATCATAAAGTTTTACTGACCATCATGCATGCAGATATTAATATTTTAGCCTGTATGTTGCAATCAGTATCAAAAATTGCAACCTCTGTATTGTATCCTCCAATAAAAAAGCACAACTATGGTATGAGGAGTCCCCCTCCTTTCTCCTAAACTTTCCTACAGAAGCCCCTTAACTTCTGAGACTCCAGAACACTCCCAACTTTTTTGTGTGTTTTCCCAGGTCAATCCTCATATTTGGCTTCCAATAAACCTTTATCAAACTATTTCTGTCTCAAAAGTTTTAATTTTGGTCAACACCATCAATTGGAACATGTTTCTATTTATATCTACTACCCACAAACTTAAGGCCTTTTCCTTTTAACTAAACCCTTATCACCCTCTGTACCTATAACTTTTGCAGATTGAGATACAACAGCAAAACTAGCCTGAATTTCTTTTTCCTTCTTTTTTTTTTTTTTTTTTTTTTAAGATGGGGTTTCACCATGATGGCCAGGCTGGTCTTGAACTCCTGACCTCAGGTGATCCACCCACCTCGGCCTCCTAAAGTGCTAGGAATACAAATGTGAGCCACCGCACCCGGCCTCTTTTTCTTTCTTCACAGTTTCACAGATAGATTTGTTCTTACCATAGATCTTAGCAACTTTGACATGCAATATTTTCTTTCCTTATTGAGAACTTTCACTTTTTTGCTCAAAGGAAGCACTTTATGGTTTCTCTTTGGCATATCTGAATTACCATGATTACTCTTACACATTGAGACCATCATTAAGTAAAAGGGTTACCTGAACACATGCATTGCAATACTGCAACAGTCGATCTCATAACCGAGAAGACTATTACATGACTAATGAGCAGATACCACAGGCAGTGTGAAAATGCTGGACAAAGAGATGATTCATGTACCAAATGGAAAGTCATGAGATTTCATCATGCTATTCAGAGTGTTCCATAGTTTAAAACTTAGGAATTGCCAGGCGCGGTGGCTCACGCCTGTAATCCCAGCACTTTGGGAGGCCGAGGCGGGTGGATCACGAGGTCAAGAGATCGAGACCATCCTGGTCAACACGGTGAAACCCCGTCTCTACTAAAGCTACAAAAAATTAGCTGGGCATGGTGGCGCGTGCCTGTAATCCCAGCTACTCAGGAGGCTGAGGCAGGAGAATTGCCTGAACCCAGGAGGCGGAGGTTGCGGTGAGCCGAGATCGCCCCATTGCACTCCAGCCTGGGTAACAAAAGCAAAACTCCGCCTCAAAAAAAAAAAAAAAAAAACAACTTAGGAATTGCTTATTTCTGAATGTTCCATTTTATATTTTTGGACCACAGTTGAGCACAGGTAACTGAAACCATGGAAAGTAAAATCTCTTATAAAGGGGGAAACTCTATATTCTGTATTACAATCTATTGCCTAAAACTATTAAAGACACCAAAGACAGCCTAATTTATTCACGTGATTTGACAAAAAACAGATCAGGTACTTAACGTTTTTTGTTTTGTTTTGTTTTGTTTTGAGATGGAGTTTCACTCTTGTCACCCAAGCTGGAGTGCAATAGTGCGATCTTGCTCACTGGAACCTCCGCCTCCCGGGTCCAAGCAATTCTCCTGCCTCAGCCTCTCGAGTAGCTGGGATTACAGGTTCCTGCCACCAAGCCTGGCTAAATTTTTTATTTTTAGTAGAGACGAGGTTTCACCATGTTGGCCAGGCTGGTCTGGAACTCCTGACGTCAGGTGATCTGTGCACCTTGGCCTCCCAAAGTGCTGGGATTACAGGTGTGAGCTACCACACCCAGCGCTCTAAAACTTTTTTCAAATAGACCAATTTACTGATAACAGTAGATAAGTAAATAGCAACAAATTCCTGTTCCCCTATTCTTTCATGCCTGGCCTCATAGTGTACTATTCTCCCAGTCCAAATAGTCTCTCCTCTTCAAGCCACATATGACTGGCTACTGACAGTGTTAATGGCTCCTCTAGGACCACAGCTTGTCCACAGGCTGTCCATAAAGCCTTTTCTGGAAAGGGAGCTGGAGAAATAAAGTAGGGTCTGTGGCTACAATCCAAATTTTACATAATGCACCCTAGTCTGCTGCTCTCTGTCCAACATAGATACTTGTCCCACTCTTTCACGTTTCCTACTTAAGAAGCAGCGGCCTTGGCATAATAAAGATGCAATCATAGAACCAAATACCTAACTGTTTTATCTTGCTTAGGATGACAAACTCCAGCAATATTTAGAAAATAAATTACTTTCATTAGCATAAAGTCCTGATCAGTACAAAATGTTCTCTAGCTCAATATATAACGCATTCTCATCCAAACATTTCAAACTAAATTGTGACTTCTGCTTGTCCTTTTCTCAAGAGGAGATAATCATAAACAATATGGTCTAAGGAATTCCCATTAAAGACCTGACACATCTTCCGTTTCCTCTCTCCAAATGAGATAATCTCATAGAAACCTACATCTTCAATTTGTCACATTACAAATAATTGTTGGTATGTATTCTTTTTTATTTTTTTAAGAGATGGGGGTCTTGCTGTGTTGCCCAGGCTGGAGTGCTGCGGCTATTCACAGGCACGATCCCACTACTGATCAGCACAGGAGTGAACTGCTCCGTTTCCAACCTGGGCTGGTTCACCCCTCCTTAGGCAACCTGGTGGTCCCCCACTCCCAAGTGGTCACCACACTGATGCCGAACTTACTGCAGACACCCGATTGGCATAGTGCACTACAGCCCAGAACTCCTGGACTCAAGTGATCCTTCCACCTCAGCCTCCTGAGTCGCTGGGACTACAGGCACATGCCACCACGCCCAGCTCTATTTTAATATTATACTATCTGCTTTTCTTTTTCCAGCTGCAAATTTTATTACATAGTGCTAATATATTTGCTGCATCTTTTTAGCAGAGATTTAAAAGAAAATGATTTACATTTCATTGATACAGAGTATAATCAATCCTTTAAAATGCATTACTTTCAATAGTTTTGGGGGAACAGATGGTATTCTGTTACATGGATAAGTTCTTTAGTGCCAACTTCTGAGATTTTGGTGCATCTGTCACCCAAGCAGTGTACATTCTACCCAATGTGTAGTCTTTTATCCTTTACCCACTTTGTCCCGTTCCTCTCAAGTCCTCAAAGTCCGTTATATCATTCTTATGCCTTTGTGTCCTCATAACTTAGCTTCCACTTATAAGTGAGAACACATTTGGTTTTCCATTCCTGAGTTACTTTATTTAGAAAAATGTTCTCTAGCTCCCAGGTTGCTGCAAATGCCATTATCTCATTCATTTTTATGACTGAATATTATTCCATGGTGTATATATACCATATTTTATTTATCCACTTGGTGGTCAATGGGCATTTATACTGGTTCTGTATTTTTTTCCGTTGCAACTTGTGCTGCTATAACCATGCATATGCGAGTGTCTTTTTCATATAATGACTTATTTTCCTCTGTGTAGATACCCAGTAGTGGGAGTGCTGAATCGAATGGTAGTTCTACTTTTAGTTCTTTAAGGAATCTCCACGCTGTTTTCCATAGTGATTGTACTAGTTTACATCCCCACCAGCAGTGTAAAAGTGTTCACTCTTCACTACATCCACACCAACATCTACTATTTTTTATTTTTAAGTTATGGCCATTCTTGCAGGAGTAAGGTGATATCTCATTGTGGTTTTAATTTGCATTTCCCTGATAATTGGTGATGTTGAGCATTTTTCTTATATTTATTATTTATTGGCCATTTGTGTATCTTCTTTTTTTTGAGATGGAGTCTCACTCTGCCCCCCCGGCTGGAGTGCAGTGGCGTGATCTTGGTTCACTGCAACTTCTGTCTCCCGGGTTCAAGTCATTCTCCTGCCTCAGCCTCCCGAGTAGCTGGGATTACAGGCAATTGCCACCACGCCCAGCTAATTTTTGTATTTTTAGTAGAGAGGGGGTTTCACCATGTTGGCCAGGCTGGTCTTGAACTCCTGACCTCAGGAAATCCATCTGCCTTGGCCTCCCAAAGTGCTGGGATTACAGGAGTGAGCTACTGTGCCCCGCCTGCATATCTTCTTTTGAGAATTGTCTATTCATGTCCTTTGCCCACTTTTTTATGGGGTTGTTTTTTTCTTGATTTGTTTAAATTCCTTGTAGATTCTGGATATTAGTTCTTTGTCAAATGCATAGTCTGTGAATATTTTCTCCCATTCTGTGGGTTGTCTGTTTACTAGGCTGATTATTTCTTTTGCTGTGCAGAAGCTTTTTATTTTAATTAGGTCCCATCTATTTACCTGTTTGTTGCACTTGGTTTTAGGTTCTTGGTCATGAACTCTTTGTCTACGCTAACATCTAAAAGAGTTTTACCAATTTTATCTTCTGGAATGTTTATGGTTTCAAGTCTTAGATTTAAGTATTTGATCCACCTTGAATTGATTTTTGTATAAGGTGAGAGACAAGGATCCAGTTTCATTCTTCTACATGTGGCTTGCTAATTATTCCATCACCATTTGTCGAAGAGGATGTCCTTGCCTCATTTTATGTTTTTGGTTGCCCTGTTGGAGATCAGTTGGCTATAAGTAGTTGGCTTTATTTCTGGGTCTTCTACTCTGTTTCATTGGTCTATGTCAATATCCCGGATGAAAAAAGATGCAAAAATCCTCAACAAAATACTAACTAAACAAATCCAACAGCATATCAAAAAGACAGTACACCATGATCAAGTAAGTTTCATACCAGGAATGCAGGGATAATTTAGCATATGCAAAGAAAAAAATGTGATACATAACATAAACAGAGTTAAAACAAAATCATAGGATCATCTCGACAGATACAGAAAAACCATTTGGCAAAATCCAGCATCACTTTATGATTAAAACGCTTGGCAAAATTGGCACAGAAGGGACATAACTCAAGGTAATAAAAGCCATCTATAACAAACCCACAGCCAACATTATACTGAATGGGGAAAAATTGAAAGCATTTCCTCTGAGAATTAGAACAAGACAAGGATGCTCACGTTCATCACTTTTATTCAACGTCGTACTAGAAGTCCTACCCAGAGCAATCAGACAAGAGAAAACTAAAGGGCATCCAAATTGGTAAAGAGGAAGTCAAACTGTTGCTGTTCACCAATGATATGATCATATACCCAGAAAATCCTAAAGATTCATTCAAAAAGCTCCTAGATCTGATAAATAAATTCAGTAAAATTTCAGGATTCAAAATAAATGTACACAAATCAGTAGCATTGCTATACACCAACAAGAACAAGGCTGAAAAACAAATCAAGAACTCAATCCCTTTTACAACAGCTACAAAAAAATAAAACAATACTTAGGAACATACCTAACCAAGGAAGTGAAATGTCTCTACAAGGAAAACTACAAAACAGTGCTGAAAGAAATCATCAGCAACACAAACAAATGGAAACATATTCCATGCTCAAAGATGGGCAGAAACAATATTTCGAAAATGAACATACTACCAAAACCGCCTTACAGATTCAATGAAGTTCCCATCAAGGTACCACAATCATTCTTCACAAAACTAGAAAAACATACTAAAATTCATACGAAGCCAAAAAAGACCCCACATAGCCAAAGCAATACTAAACAAAAAGAATAAATCTGGAGGCATCACATTACCCAACTTCAAATTATACTACAAAGCTATAGTTACCAAAACAGCACGGTACTGGTATATACTGTATGCTTTTCTAATAAATTGAAACCAGTGTTGTAGTACATCCCTTTATTATAGGTTTTACAGTTACCAGGTAAGTTCAATACTTTTAGTAAAGCAAGCTTTCCAATGTTGTTTTTTGAGTTTTCTGTTTGTTTTTTTCTTTTCTTTTTATTTATTTTTGAGACAGAATTTTGCTTGTTACCCAGGCTAGAGTACAATGGCACGATCTCAGCTTACTGCCACCTCTGTCTCCCGTGTTCAAGCAATTCTCCTGCCTCAGCCTCCCAAGTAGCTTGGATTACAGGCATGCACCACTACTTTCAGCTAATTTTGTATTTTTAGTAGAGATGGGGTTTCTCCATGTTGGTCAGGCTGGTCTCGAACTCCCAACATCAGGTGATTCACCCACCTTGGCCTCCCACAATGCTGCAATTACAGGCGTGAGCCACCACACCCTACTGAACCTACACGTTTCTTTATTAGAGTTCTGAAGATTTTTATTTCATTCATTGATCTTAAAGTTATCTGAAATCAGGGTTCAAGACTACTTGTTAGAGTCTTTTCCACTCTAGCTTTTGGACTATAGCTGATTGCAAATGCTTTTAGAGAAGACTTTAAAGCAATAACTGTGGATGACAAAAACTTAGAATAGTCATGGTTAAAAATCTGATGAAAGTTCCTGGCCAGGTGCAGTGACTCACACCTGTAATCCCAGCACTTTGGGAGGTTGAGGTGGGCAGATTGCTTGAGCCCAGGAGTTTGAGACCAGCCTGGGCAACATGGTGAAATCCCAATGTTTTAGAACATTTATATCAATAGCATACACATAAATGTAACTGAAGAAATACCTAGTATCACTTAACATTTGTCAATGATTCCCTTAAAATTTGCCAAATAAGCCTAATTATTTAATATATCTACAAGATGAGAGACACAACTTTGAGGCTCTCCAGCGACCAATTGGAAAATCCCAATGTTAACTTTAAGTCAAAAAGACTTAGTTTCTGATTTTGATGATGTGGGTAGAGGAAGGGCCTGCCAAAGAAGCTAAAAAGTTCAAAGACAAAATCACAGGTTACCGTAAAATAATAGCCGTTAATTTAATCAGAGTGACAAAAGACTTCAAAAGCAATACAGAAAGTTACATGGATGTAAAAACTTAAACCCATTTAAAGTTCACTTTTCTATGTAATCCAAAACCTAAGACAAGACAGGAAGCTATCTTCATAAAACATAAAATATTTGTTTTTTTCAGGCCAGAAGAAAAACCTCTTGCAGTATGATTGCTCATGGGGAGCCCATTTAGATAATTTGGAAATCAATCCTGATCAAAAGGATGCTTGTAAATCAGACACAGTAAGAATGTGTCTAGGGCTAAAAATATACATTACATTATACATGAATGTAAACAAGAAAACTAATACCTTGAGTTAGGGAATACATGGCTCTCAGTAACAAATAGAAAGTTTCCTGATTATATGGAACAGTTTAGACACATCAGTAAAAGCCAAGAGTACAGAATTGTGTTATACTGGAGGAATACATTGCATTTCCAGGACTTTAAGATAAACATTCTGGTGCTTGCTTTGGCAGCACATATACTAAAGTTGGAATGACACAGAGAAAATTTACATGGCCACAAGCTGTTAAAAAAATAATAATTTTTTTTTAAATTTCAGCATCAGATTGTAACAATAGAGTCAGAACAGGAAAAAAAAAGTTACAGAAATTGATGAAAAGATTGCAGAAGAAATTTATCACCCCAGCCAAGAAAAATGTTATACCTTTTCAAAGAGAGAAAGAACAAAGGGCAATAACGTAAGACCTGCAAATCACATGCAGCAAGGCACAGCAAAAGTTGAGGGTTTTTTTTTTTTTTTTAGTTAATGTTGAACTTCTAGGCTGGACATGGTGGCTCATACCTGTAATCTCAGCACTTTGAGAGGCCAAGGCAGGTGGATCACTTGAGCCCAGGAGTTCAAAACCAGCATGGAGAACATAGGGAAACCCTGTCTTTACAAAAAATAAAACAAAAATTAGCTGGATATGGTGGCACAGACCTGTAGTCCTAGCTACTGGGGAGGCTGAGGCCAGAGGATTGCTTGAGCATGCAAGGTCAAGGCTGCAGTGTGCTCAGATGGAGTCGCTGCACTCCAGCCTGGGTGACAGAACGAGAACCTGTTTCAAAAAAAAAAATGCCAGGCATGGTGGCTCACACCTATAATCCCAGCAATTTGGGAGGCCAAGGTGGGCAGATCACATGTGGCCAGGCGTTTGAGACCAGCCTGGCCAACATGTCGAAACCTCGTCTGTTCTAAAAATACAAAAAATTAGCCGGGAGTGGTGGCATGCGCCTACAGTAGTCCCAGCTACTCAGGAGTGTGAGGCAGGAGAATAGGAGAATCACTTGAACCTATGAGGCAGAGGCTGCAGTAAGCCAAGATTGTGCCACTGCACTCCAGCCTGGTGACAGAGTGAAACTCCCTTTCTAAAAAAAAATAAAATAAAATAAATAAAAATTGAACTTCTAAAGTATAAATCTGAGAAGTTACAAAAAAGAAAAATTTTATCTTGAGAAATAAAATTATTAGTCTTAATGAAAAAAAATTGCATTAGGCCAGGCGCAGTACACCTGGGAGGCCAAGGTGGGTGGCTCCACCAAAAAAATTAAAAATTAGCTGGGCGTGGTGGCAGACACGTGTGATCCCAGCTACTCCAGAGGCTGAGGCAGGAGGTTGCAGTGATCCAAGATTGTGTCATTGCATTCCAGCACTCCAGCCTGGGCGACAGAGCAATACTCTGTCACACACACACACACACACACACACACACACACACACACCCACCCACCCACAAACCACAAAGACAGCATCTCCAAACTAAAACTTCAGATAGATCTTAAGAAGAAATGTGGCAGAATATTTTTAATATTAAAGCTCAATTTTTAGAAAGACCCTTCTAATTATATAGCCAACTTGATCATAAACAAAATTTCTCTCATAAATTCCAGTTTCACAAACCTTATCACAACTATTCAGACCACTGATGACATACTTGAATTTTCTGCTTTGTCTTATACTTCTCTTTCTTAACCACTCATTTTACCTTAGGACAAAAATTTACCACAGAAGATTCTTTGTTATACAAAATTATTCTCTGTTCTTTTTAACCTTCTTTACCAAAAATATATCCTCACATCCATACATTTTTTGAGTACTAATGGATCTACTTCACTGGCTTAAATACCTGCAAAGCATTCTGCCAAAAAGATGTTCCAAGACAGATTTGGTAATTTCTCTATCCTTGCAAAATATCTTTCAATACTTGGCTGGGCATGGTGGCTAAGGCCTGTAATCCCAGCATTTTGTTAGGCTGAGGGGGCGGATCACTTAAGGTCAGGAATTGGAGACCAGCCTGGCCAACATGGCAAAGCCCCATCTCTACTAAAACACAAAAGTTAGGCTAGTGGCGTGCGACTGTAATCCCAGCTACTCAGGAGACTGAGGTGAGAGAATCGCTTGAGCCCAGGAGGTGGGAAGTTGCAGTGAGCCCAGATCATGCCACTGCCCTCCAGCCTGGGCAACTGAGACCCTGCCTCAGAAAAAAAATATATATTTCTATACTTAATGTTTGTGTGATTGCTGAAAACACTGTGGCCCCTTTACAATGGGTTGGTGAACAATGGTTTGGCAAACTCTGAGGTCATCAAAGCATCTTCTTGAAAAATATGACTTTAGAAGATAGCCAACATTTGTATTAGACTATATTCTTCAGAAATAAAAGAATCATAGAAAGAAGAGCAGTAAGAAATTTATAAATATGTACACACACAAATAGGGAGAAAGATGGAGTAATTATCTCATATGTATGTATTTATAATAAAATTATATTTAGAAGAATAGATAAGGAAGCTAGTTATGAGTCTTTTAACCTCGTAAGGCAAAGGCATTTAAAGACCAAAGCTCAGAATGCTACTTAATCCTTAGGTTTTTGTGTGTGTTCTGAAGGCTTAAGTTTGTCAGCCTGCAGAAGTAATGAAGCAGTTCAGTTTGCGAATTGAAGTTAATGAAAAATAAAAAATCCTAATCAGATTTAGTTTGGAGTCAGCTTTAGAGAATAGCACTTTTGGCTGGGCGTGGTGGCTCACATCTGTAATCCCAGCACTTAGGGAGGCTGAGGCGGGTGGATTACAAGGTTAAGAGAATGAGGCCATCCTGGCCAACATGGTGAAACCCCGTCTCTACTAAAAATAGAAAAAATAGCTGGGCATGTTGGCGTGTGCCTGGGAGGCTGAGGCAGGAGAACTGCTTGAGCCCAGGAGGCGGAGGTTGCAGTGAGCTGAGATAGCACCATTGCACTCCAGCTTGGGCAACAGAGTGCAATGGCGCTCAAAAAAAAAAAAAGAATATCACTTTCAGGCCAGGCGCGTGGCTCAGACCTGTAATCCTAGCATTTTGGGAAGCCTAAATGGACAGATCGCCTGAGGTCAGGAGTTCAAGACCAGCCTGTCCAATATGCTGAAACCCCATCTCTACTAAAAATACAACAATTAGCTACGCATGGTGGTGCACGCCTATAGTCCCAGCTACTCGGGAGGCTGAGGCAAAATAATTGTTTGAACACAGGAGGTGGAGGTTACAGTAAGCTGAGATCATGCCATTCAACTCCAGCCTGGGCCACAGTGTGAGACTCAGTAAAAAACAAACAAACAAACAGGATAGCACTTTCAGAAAACTGTGTTATATGCCATTACTACCTTCCTTCTGCTGTTATTAAATGAAGATAAGAAGTGAAGAATAAATAGCAAGAAAGAAGGCGGCCATCAACAGACTCAAACAGTGAAAATACAACAACGATCTAGGAAAGTACTACTTTTACCCATTATTTCATGTTTAAAAGTTTGCTTCTAGGTACATGGATTATATTCCACCTATCATTATCACATTATAATGATAATAAGAGAGCATGAACTTTGGAGTCTAGATAGACTTGAGCTCAAATCCTAGGTCTACAATTTTCTAGCTGAGTCAGCTTAGCAATGTCATTTAACCTTTGAGTCTGTTTTCACTTATAAAATAAGAATGACAGTAGATGATCAGTAAATGTTGGTTAGGAGATCTGGATAGTATACCTACCAAATCATATTGAGAGCACTACCTTTACATAAATAAAATAGTTACACTATCCTGAAAGTGTGGTTCTCAGATCAGTAGCATCAGTGTCACCTTTGAGCTTATTAGAAATGCAAATTGCTGAATCCTATCCAGACCTATGTAATCAGATGGTCTGGAATAGGGCCCAGGAAACTGCTTTATAAGCTCTTTAGCTGAGTCTTATGCATGTTAAAGTTTGAGAACTACTGCCTCAGAGATCAGCTAGAAATGATTTTTCTGGGATCAATTCCATTAATGAACATGAAAGGATCTAATAGTCATCTGCAGGACCAATTTATCTGCTAGGCACAAGCAGCACAGTGCTGAGAGCCCATGACACTTATAAGGTGTTATGAAAATGTTTTGGGCCGGGCGCGGTGGCTCACGCCTGTAATCCAAGCACTTTGGAGGCCAAGGCGGTCAGATCACCTGACGTTGGGAGTTCAAGACCAGCCTGACCAACATGGTGAAACCCCTTCTTAAAAAAAAAAAAAAAGAAAAAAAAAAAAGAAAATGTTTTAATTTTTTTTAATCAAAAGAAAAAAATGAACATAATGATAATAATAAATCCAGTCTGGATTATATTTTATGTTTATACCAAAGTAGTTGTAAAATTAACTAATTTTAAAATTTCAAATGTATTTTTATATACAGTATTTAAACTCTGGCTAAAAAAAGTTTTGATATATTTCCAATGGAGAAAGGGCCCCATGAAGTCACAGTGCTTAGGGCCCAGGAAAGTCATAATGCAGCCCCAGTCAACTGAAAACTTCCCTGTTCATTTCTAAATGTTGACACTGAAGGTGCCTGGTAGGAACTGACTATAAGAAATGTGTGTTATTTTGAGGATCTATTCACTTACAATTTTTAAAAGATTAGTTTTGAGCTTTATTTAATCAAAAATTTAAAATTGTAAGCATTAAAATGACTGATAGACCACCTACGAAAACTCTAGGAAAAAACCTGCAACATGGAAGAGGGACAGAAATCATTGACTAAAGAGAAGAACTAGAAATTAAAAAGAAGCATGAAATACGGTAGGATAAAAAAACAAGATAATCAGCAAGTTGAAAGTAAAATGGAATAATGTAGAAATTATGTTAGGACAGAAACTTATATCATTATAACAGAAATTAATATACTACTTTCATATGATGTTCATTGTTTCATCTGGCACAAATACACTTAGCTGGTGAAAAATTATCAACCAGTCACTAATTGCAGAACTTGCTACTGTCTCCTGAAACTTGTATTTGGTTGTGGATTAACTATATACTGAATATCTCAGTATAGTGTTTAGAAGAACTGGATTTGATAATTATGTTTTCAAAAAAATATATGTATTAAAACAGTTATTATTTTATTGATCACTATTAAGCTCTACCAGCATAGAATATGGTTCAGTTTATCCAAGTAGTTTTATACACTGCATTTTAAATTTGGCTAAAATAGAGGAAACATCAGCTATGATAGAAAAGAATTTGCAGACTTAGGAATAACATACACAGAGAGGAAACTTTATTCTGTGTCTATAACCAACTCAAATCTTCCGTTTGTTAATTCCCAGACCCCTCAGAGCAACTCAAGTTATTTCAGCATTATAATCTTCAAACCAAACCCTAGGTTCACACCTGGATTGCTGATCCCTTTTAGAGTATCTTTCCTTGATTTCTACCACAATGTTATTTGGGACATAGACATTTTCTGAACCTCTGAGAAGACTGTATTACATAGTCTTTAAGGAGTCCAGGTTCTAGAATTCTGATTCTAAATTTTCCTTGGGAAAAATTATTTTTGCTATGTTGCATTTATTTACTAATTAAGCAGATATGTATTAACATCTATTGGTGCAAGATTCTATTAAAACAGAAAGTGCATTGCAGATGGAGGGGAAAACATGTCCAAAGGCTCTGATGTAAGAAAGAAAAACTGAAAAATACTGAAAATGGCTGTAGCTTCATGAAGAAGGTGAGAATGCTGCAAGAGGAGGCTAGTGAGGTAGGTAGGGAGGGTCTGGGATTTAAGACTTTATCCTAAGAGCAAGGGGAAACCTTTGAGTGGTTGTAAACAGGAAAGTGCTGTTACCTGATTTACATAGAAAAGGAAGGGAGGGAGGGAGGGAGGGGCCAGGTGTGGTGGCTCATGCCTGTAATTGCAGCAACTTGAAAGGTTTAGATGGGTGGATGACTTGAGCTTATGAGTTCAGGATCAGCCTGGGCAACATGGTAAAACCCTGTCTCTACAAAACACACACAAAAAATGGAAAGAATGAAGGAATGAAGAAAGGAAGGAAATGAAGGAAGGAAGGGAGGGAGGGAGGGAGGGAGGGAAGGAAGGAAGGAAGGAAGGAAGGAAAGAGGGGGTCAGGCATGGTAGCTCACACCTGTAATTCCAGCACTTGGAAGGTTGAGGTTGGTAGATCACTTGAGTTTATGAGTTCAAGACCAGCCTGGGCAACATGGTAAAACCCTGTCTCTATAAAACACACACAAGGCCGGGCGTGGTGGCTCACGCCTGTAATCCAAGTACTTTGGAGGCCAAGGAGGGCGGATCACCTGAGGTTGGGAGTTCAAGACCTGCCTGACCAATATGGTGAAACCCCATCTTTATAAAACACACACACACACATTAGCTAGGCATGGTGGTGCACACCTGCAGTTCCAGCTACTTGGTAGGCTGAGGTAGGAGAGTTACTTAACCTTGGAAGACAGAGGTTACAGAGAGCTGAGATTGCACCACTGCACTCAAGCTTGAGCCAGAGAGCCAGACCTTGACTCAAAAATAATAATTTTTTTTAAAAGATTATTGTGGCTTTTGTGTGACAAATGGATTAGAGGAGTAGAGAGAATAAGAAATAACCTGTTTGACACTATTACTGTAGTACGGCTGAAAGATTATAGTGGTTTAGATTGCAGGGGAGACACTGGAACTGGAAAAAATATGAATAGATACAAAAGATAATTAGGAAAAAGATTTGATTAAAAAAAGAAAGGAAAGAGGAGACAGAGGGAGCGAAAGAGAAACAAGTGATTCCTAGCTTTCTGGTTTCTGAAACCGGAAATGTGGGAATGACATGAGTGAATGACAATGCTATTCACCAGGCTAAGAAAACCAGGAAAGGAACAGAGTTAAGGAGTGTCTTATGCTCTTGGGTGTCTCCACAGTATTCTGCAGATTGTCTCAGTTCTGTTTTCCTCTGAATTTTGTTTGCATAGAATGCTTAAAGATGTTAGCCCTCTGGTAATCACCATTGGTTATTCTTTCTCTCAGAACTTAGACTACACAAAACACTGAGAAGATTCTTGATATGGGGCCTCATAAATTTATGTTTTTGAACCAGTTTAATTAGATTACAGCTATGCTGGTGAATTCCCTGCAAAGCTCCCAAGTGTATGGTATGGTGGAACATCTCAAAGGTTATAAAGAATATGATCAACTGTTTTTACTACAAAAGAGATAAACTGTAGTGCAGTGAGGAGAGTGGGGATCTTGAGAAGGCACTAGGGTAAGGAATATGTTAGGGGACTCAGTTAAAGAAGAACAAACTCCATCTCTATTGTAACAGTAGAATATAAAAAATAAAATGGGTAGGTGCAGATGCAAATAGTTTAGGGAAACTAAAGAAATACTCATGACATGTATTTCTCTCTGAAGTATGAAGCAAGGAATTCTGCTGAGTGATGAGTAAACAGTTGAAGTTTGAAATCGTTGTAGTGGACAGTTGGAAATATTTGACAAACTTGTAGGAAGATGGTAGCTATGATGTCTTAGTGGGACCAATCTTCTCTGTTGGATGACTTTTCTTCAGCCCTCATTACCTTTCTATGTTCCAACAGGGAAGATGGGCATTTGAACTTACTCAGGGTGAGTATTTTAAGAGAGGAAAACCAGGAAATAGCAGAGAAGCAAGAGAGTTGGGCATATAATCAAGAAAGAGTAAATGAAACGAGGTAGCACAGAGTCTACATTAGGTAGGGAGAATGGTCATAGTGGTAGTAGTTTAGATGGGATGTTTCAATTATAGATATAACTCGAGATAATACAGGTTCAGTTCCATACCATTGCAATACAGAGATTACTACAATAAAGCAACTCATAAATTTTTTGGTTTCCCAGTTCATAGAAAAGTTATATTTACACCATATTATAGTTGATTAAATGTGTAAGGGCCAAGCACAGTGGCTCACACCTGTAATCCCAGCACTTTGGGAGCTGAGATGGGCTGATCACCTGAGGTCAGGAGTTTGAGACCAGCCTGGCCAACATGGAGAAACCTTGTCTCTATTAAAATTACAGAAATCAGTTGGCATGGTGGCACACGCCTGTAGTCTTAGCTATTCAGGAGGCTGAGGCAGGAGGATCGCTTGAACCCAGGAGGCGGAGATTGCAGTGAGTCGAGATTACGCCACTGCACTCCAGCCTGGGTGTCAGAGCGAGACTCTGTCTCAAAGAAAAAAAAATAGACAATTTATTAAAAAAAATTTTTTTTTTGCTAAAATGTTAATGATCATTTGAGCCTTTTGTTGGCAGGGGGTCTTCCTTGATGTCAATGGCTGATTAATGATCAGGGTAGTGGTTGCTAAAGGTTGGAGTGGCTGTCGTAATTTCTTAAAATAAAACAACAATGAAGATTGTTGCATAGATTGACTCTTCCTTTCATGAAAGATTTCTCTGTAGCAGATGACATTGTTTGATAATATTTTACCCACAGTACAACTTCAAAATTGGAGTCAGTTCTCTCAAGCTCTGCACTTCTTTGTTTACTAAATTGACGTAATATTCTAAATCTCTCATTGCCATTTCAACAATGTTCACAGCATCTCTACCAGGAGTAGATTCCATCTTAAGAATCCATTTTCTTTGCGCACCTAGAAGCAACTCCTCATGCATTCAAGTTTGATCATGAGATTGCAGCAATTTAGTCATATCTTCGGGCTCCACTTCTATTTGTAGTTCTTCTGCTATTTCCACAACATCTGCAGTTACCTTCTCCACTGAAGTATTAAACACTTCAAAGTAATCCATGAGAGATAGAATCAACTTCTTCCAAACTCCTGTTAATGCTGATGTTTCAGCTTCCTCCCATGAGTCACAAATATTCTTAATGGCATCTAGAATGGTGAAACATTTCCAGAAGGTTTTGAATTTACTTTTCTCAGATCCATTAGAGGAATCACTATTGACAGCAGCTACAGTCTTAGAAATGTATTTCTTAAATAATAAGACTTAAAAGAAATGTATTTCTAAAATAGTAAGACTTAAAGGCATGAAAACATTAATCTCCTTGTGCATCTCCATGAGAGCTCTTGGATGACCAGGTGCATTGTCAATGAGCAGTAATATTTTGAAAGAAACCCTTTTCTCTGAGCAGTGGGTCTCAACAGTGTGTTTAAAATATTCAATAAGCCATGCTATAAACAGATAAGCTATCATCCAGGCTTTGTTATTCCATTGTTAGAGTACAGGTAGAGCAGATTTAGCACAATTCTTAAGTGAACTAAGATTTTCAGAATGGCAAATGAGCATTGGCTTCAACTGAGAGTCACCAGCTGCATTAGCACCTAACAAGAGAGTGAGGGGCCAATGTCCTTTCAAACTCGGAAACCAGGCATTGACTTCTCTCTAGTTATGAAAGTCCTAGACAGCATCTTCTTCCAATAGAAGGCTGTTTTGTCTATATTGAAAATCTGTTGTTGAAAGTAGTGGCCTGAAATTAATAACACTTAAAAATACAACAATGAGGCCGGGCTCGGTGGCTCACGCCTGTAATTCCAGCACTTTGGGAGGCCAAGGTGGGCAGATCACCTGAGGTCAGGAGTTTGAGACCAGCCTGGCCCACATGGCAGAACCCCATCTCTACTAAAAACACGAAAATCAGGCCAGGAGCAGTGGCTCATGCCTATAATCCCAGCACTTTGGGAGGCCGAGGAGTGTGGATCACCTGAGGTCAGGAGTTCGAGACCAGCCTGACCTACAGGGTGAAACCCCATCTCTACTAAAAATACAAAAATGAGCCAGGTGTGGTGGCAGGTGCCTGTAGTCCCAGCTACTTGGGAGGCTGAGACAGGAGAACTGCTTGAACCCAGGAGGCATTCCAGCCTGGGCAATGGAGCGAGACTCCATCTCAAAAACAAACAAACAAAAAACAAAAATCAACACATGCTTGTAATTCCAGCTACCGAGGCAAAAGAATCACTTGAACCTGGGAGGCAGAGGTTGCAGTGAGCTGAGATCACAACGCTGCATCTAGCCTGTGCAACAGAGTGAGACTGTCTCAAAACAACAACGGGCCAGGTGGCTGGCTTGCATCTGTAACCCCTGCACTTTGGGAAGCCAGGAGCCAGGATCCCTTGAGCCCAGGAGTTCAAGGTCAGTCTGAGCAATATGGGAAGGCCCCATCCCTACAAAAAAAATACCAAAAAAAAAAAAAAAAAAAAAAAAATTAGCCAGGAGTGGTGGCGCTTGCCTGTAGTCCCAGCGGCTTGAGAGACTGAGATGGGAGGATTGCTTGAGTCTAGGAGGTAGAGGCTGCAGTGAGCCGTGTTTGCACCCCTGCACTCCAGCCTGGGCAACAGAGTGACACTCTACCTTTCAATAATAAATAAATAAATAAATAAATAAATAACAATGAGCCATGTGTGGTGGTGGCTCTTGGCTGTAATCCCAACAGTTTGGAAAGCCAGGGAAGGAGGACTCCTTGAGGCTAGGGTTTGGGACAAGCCTGGGCAACATATCAAGATCCTCATCTCTATTTTAACAATAAAATAGACTTCGTTTGAAATATCCTAATTCAGCTTGCTTAAAAGACATCTTCTATACAGGCTACCTTGTTTCTCATTCCATATACTGCTGTAACACAGGGTAATTACCATTAATTTAGCAATTTAATACAAATTTATTCTCATAGTTCTGTATGGTCCGAAGTCTAATACCTTTCTGACTGGGCTAAAGTCAAGGTGTCAGTTTTCCTTTTTGGAGACTCCTGAGAATTGATTTCCTTGCCTTTCCAGCTTCCAGAGGCCACACACATTCCTTGACTACTGGAACCTTCCACCATTTTCTTTTCTTTTTTTTTTTTTGAGACAGAGTCTTGCTCTGTCACACAGGCTGGAGTACGGTGGCGCCAGCTCGTCTCACTGCAAACTCCACCTCTGGGGTTCAAGAGAGTCTCCTCCCTCAGCCTCCCAAGTAGCTGGGACTACAGGCGCCCGCCACCACGCCCGGTTAATTTTGTGTTTTAATACAAGTTTTTAGATGGGGTTTCACCATATTGGCCAGGCTGCTCTAGAACTCCTGACCTTGTGAACTGCCCATCTAGGCCTCCCAAAGTGCTAAGATTACAGGCATGAGCCATGTGCCTGGCCTGAAAGATTTTTTAAAACTACATTTTGAAGTCTGGACAAACGGCCATTTACCCACATCTGCCTATTACCTACACATCTCAGTATTACACTGTCATTGGCACAGACGATGTCATAGAACAGCACAACAGGATCATGCAATAACCTTAGGCAACAAAAATAAATCATAATAAATTTATATTCATTACACTACTCTTGCTAATCAGCAAAGATTATTGGTTCACATTAGGAAAAGATTTTAAAAGAAGTTTTAAAAAACAAGGTTTTCTGCTTAGGCCTTCGTTAACAGGACAACTAAATTGGAACAGTCCACTCCCCAAAGACTGCACTTCATCTTATCGATTTTTTGCATCATTTTAATTGCTGTTTTCACTGATATTTAGCATAGATTTTTGCTCGTTTTTGTTTTTAAAAGAAAGATACTGAAAGACAAAAAAAAAAATGCTATCAGAGGACTACAAACCTTAAGGGGTGGAGTTTCAGTGGTGAAACAATCATTTTCCGTGCTTTTCTTATTTCCTTGAATGAGAATGTTATTTTTATAATATGAAAAAAAAATTAAAGAAAAAGAAGTTAAAAAAATAAAAAAGACCTGACTTGTAAGTTATGGTTTTTGAAGTCTCAGACACATAAATGACAAGGGACTATTTTTTTTTTAACACTGCAATTTAAAGCTGACTGGTGGGATCTTCCCTGATAAATTTTGGAAACATCTTTAAAAATAAATGTAGACCACAAATCATTTACTACACGTGATTCCAGTACCTCACTACCTTTTCTCTTCAGTTGGCTGTGCTTTAAATTCTAAGGCCTTCTCAAGCAATGACATTTTCACATTTCTTAGGCATCTGTGGTACCTGAGGAGCAAACCCATCACCGCCCGCAGAAGCGCACACGCCAGGTTTGCCATGGGGCCCTGGGCGGTGGGGATTCTGGACCTAACTTGCCTAGGCCGAGCCGGTGCCGTGAAAGGCCGACCCTGCCGAGAGCCCCGGCAGCGGGCGCCCACAAGTCAGGGCTGGGTACGGCGCTGCAGCCAGCTCTGCCCGCGAGCCGAGCCCGGGCTGCTGAGGGGGGAGCCGCGCTGGGGGCGGCGGCGTCGGGGCGGGGGCGGGAGCCGGGCGGGCGGCAGCTCCAGCGCCCGTGGGGGAGGAGCGGCAGCGGCGGCGGCTAAAGCTGCTGTGGCGACCAACGCGAGGCGGTGGCAGAGGAGACCCACCCCTGTCCACATGGACAGTCGTAAAGGCCTCCGCTGATGCATTCACGCCTGGGCGGGGTAGGCGGACGGCCGTAGCGGCGGCGGCTGCAGAAGGAGCGAGGGGCCTGGAGGCGCCTGACGGTCGCAGCGACCTCGCCGCTCCGGCGCGGCGGGTGCGGCCATTTTACGGCCTGGGACGGAGGGAGGCGTGTTTGTGTGCTCGCCTTCATCCTTATTTCTTGGGAACCCACGGCTGGGGGAGGTTTCTTAGGCAGTCTGGGTGGGCGGTGGATGGGGAGTCGCGGGCCGAGAGGAACCGGGCCCGGGAAGCGCCGCCGTCGTCGTCGCCGCTCGCATTCCCCCGGAGGGGCCTGAGGAGAAGCTCGGGCCGCGGGCCTCGCCGCCCGCCAGCCCGCGGACAGGCCGGGGCGCGCCTGGCCTGCTTTTGTGTAGGCCCGTCTGAAAGTGGGAGCGCCGCCCGCCTGACGGCTGAGCCCGAGGCCCGCAACCCTGCGGCGGCTACCCTCCTCCGGCGCGGCCCTTCATCCCGGCGAGCACGGCGGCGGTGTGGGCCATGGATTAAGAAGGAGGCGGCGTGGGAGGAGGAAGATGGCGGCCGGCAAGAGCGGCGTCAGCGCCGGGGAGATTACTTTTCTGGAAGGTACGTCTATTTCTGCCCTTGCGGGGAGGAATGAGGGTATACAGGAAAACTGGCCCCCAGAACCCCGGATATTCAGTTATCTGCGCTGGGTGGGTTCGAGGGGTGGGGGGCGGTGAAGTACGAGGGATGAGCTATGACGGGGAGGGATGTGTCGCGAGCGCGCCAGGTTCGAGTCGGCCCAGGCAAGTGGCTTCTCTGCGAGCCGGTTCGGCTCAGGGGGTGCGGGTGGATTGAGCTGCGAGCCAGAGTTGGTGGGCGTCCTTTGAGAGTGCGCGCTGAAGTCTTTGACATTTAAAAAAATTTTGGGGTGGTGGCCTAAGGATGAGGGTAGCCTGCGTTCACAACTTGTTTGGTGTTCATGAAAAGTTTCAAATTGCTAAGGTTGAGTGCAAATGGGGACCAGTCTAAATAGGGAGGGGACAGACAGTTTCGTTGAGGTGTTGTTTTATACCCTCTCGTCTGTTCCTCAGTTTCAGGCTTCCTTTTGCAACCAGCCTCCCAGATTAGGCCTGGCCTAATCTGATAATCTTTCAGAATGTGTTTTTATAAAAATATACTATAAAAATAATGTATCTGGGAAACGAGTAAGGTTTACAGTGTCAATTTTGGGGCTGTAACAAAAGCTTATTTACAGAATTTGAGTGTTTATTCACTTGTAAGGAAAGTTAAACATTTGCTGTAAGTAGACTACGCCAGTCTCAAGAAAAACAAAAATATGTTTTTGTTGGGGATGGTGGTAATGGGGAGCGATATTGATTTTTCGGCCGATATATAAGGACCCCCAAAATAGAGCTAAATGTTATTGTAACTGTGGACCAAGAAGTGTTTATATTCATTTGACTACGGGTTCAGTGTTTACATTGGTGACTGAGTTTATAAATATGTTTAGCAAAATGACTCTCTGTTGCTTAGAGATTCATTCTTGTTAAAAAGAATTAACTACTCTGGATAATTTTGCAAATACGATTTTCATTGCAATAATATGTCATGAGCCTTAAAATATAACCTTTTTTAGTATGTTTCAGAAACATTACTGAATTAACAAAGAACAATTTAACTTAAAATGAAGAAGACCCCTAGGGTAACAGGTTCTATAGGAGGGTGTTGAGGAATGGGAATGCCTTGACACTGCTTTTGTAACAGCCTCTTCAACAGTGCCTGGAATACAGTAGGTACTCAATATTAGTCTAGTGAAAGAGTAATGAATAACAGAGGTAATTTTTGTTAATTCTTCTTGAGTATAGTGAAGTGAAAAAAAATCTTAGGCCGGGCGCGGTGGCTCACGCCTATAATCCCAGCACTTTGGGAGGCCGAGGCGGGTGGATCACGAGGTCAAGAGATCGAGACCATCCTGGTCAACATGGTGAAACCCCGTCTCTACTAAAAATACAAAAATTAGCTGGGCATGGTGGCGCACGCCTGTAGTCCCATCTTCTCGGGAGGCTGAGGCAGGAGAATTGCTTGAACTCAGGAGACGGAGGTTGCAGTGAGCCGAGATCGTGCCATTGCACTCCAGCCTGGGTAACAAGAGCGAAACTCCGTCTCAAAAAAAAAAAAGAAAAAAAATCTTTACCGTACAAGCCAGCCTTTATCTAAAAGTGATGAGAGCTTTACAGGAGATTTCCTAGTAAGAAAAGCTTCTGAGTTTTTTGGGGTTCATTTCGTATTAATAGGTACCTGTCAAGAAGCTGAGAGGGCGCAGCTGTGTTACAGGTAGATGTGCTTTGTTTTTGTTTTGAAATTGGAAACAAAAGATGGCTTACTTGTGCTTATTATATTCAGTATGCAGATGATTATACTTTTGTGCTATCCCAGATTTCCAGCTTTTATAGGCTTCTGATGGAGTTAAAATTCTAATTGGATGAACATAGGGAGGATAAAAAAGCACAAGTAAAGCCACAGATGTAGAGTTAATGTGAGCTTCAAACTGCTGCTTTTAGTTTATCCTAATCTAAGGATCTTTGAATGTACAGGTGCGAGTTTCACCACGTCTTAAGCTTTTTCTTACAGCAAGCAAATGGTAACTTGTTTAGAGCATAAGAGTAAGTGGCCTGGGCACGTTGGCGTACGCCTGTAATCCCAGCACTTTGGGAGGTCTAGGCAGGCAGGCGAATCACTTCAGGAGTTTGAGACCAGGCTGGCCAACATGGCGAAACCCCTCTCTACTAAAAATACAAAAATTAGCCAAGTATGGTTGACATGCTCTTGTAGTCCCAGCTACTGCGAAGGCTGAGGCAGGAGAATCGCTTGAACCCGGGAGGCACCGGGAGGCAGAGGTTGCAGTGATGGCGCCACTGCACTTTAGCCTGGGCGACCGAGTGAGATTCTGTCTCCAAAAAAAAAAACATAAGGGAAAGGAACAACTTCAGTTCCTCATAACTTTATAACCAATTTTCATATACTATATTGAATCTTTCCAAATAAACGAATGTTTAGTACTACTTATGTTTTCTGCTTAATTTTCCATGATTCTTTTGGTTTCTTACACTTTTAACAATAATAATAAAATATTCTGGCCAGGCGTGTTGACGCATGCCTGTAATCCCAGCACTTTGGGAGACCAAGATGGACGGATAACCTGAGGGTCAGGAGTTTGAGGCCAGGCTGGCCAACGTGGTGAAACCTAGTCTCTACCAAAAATACAGAAATTAGCCAGGCGTGTCGGCTCGCGCCTGTAATCCCAGCTACTCGGGAGGCTGAGGCAGGAGAATCGCTTGAACCCGGGAGGGGGAGGCGGAGGTTGCAGTGAGCCGAGATCGCGCTATTACACTCCAGCCTGGGCGATGAGCGAAACTACGTCTGTAATAATAATAATAAAATATTCCACCATGATTTGCCTTACATTTTGTATTATCAGATTTATAACTGTTCAAAATATTTCCCCATATATAGGCTCCTAGGATTTAGTATTAAAACAGCTACATATTATACTTTCTTTACTTTCCTATTGGCTCCTTGAAAAACTAAACTAGGTTTTCATTGGCTCATCACATTTATAGCATCCTACTCTACTAGGCAGTGTACCACGGTACAGTGCATAAGATAGTCAAGGACTCTGCCTTTATTTAATCTATTATGGCAGAGGGGATACGGGTAAAGATTCAGAGGTAATATATGGTTCCATTTGATCAACAGAAAGGCTGAAATGGAAAAAAAAAAAAAAACAAAAGCTGAAAAAGCAAAAAAGAAAGAGATATGAGAGGCAAGAGATCTTCCAGTCAGGATCGTGAATAATTTTTATGTCATTCTCAGTAGTGGGAAGCCATTGAAGAGTTTGGGGCAAGGGGGTGTAATGATATGGTTTAGCTTTTTTAAAAGAAATCACTGGCTACTGTATGTGGAATGAATTGAAAAGGGACAAAATTAAAAGCAAGACAATAAATTAGGATAACATTGTAGTAGTCGAGGTAGAAGTGATAGGGGCTTCAATTAGGAGGATGTCAGTGGAGACTGGGGAAGAGAAGTTGATAGGTTGAGGATATGTTTGGATGTAGAGCCCACAGGACTTGATGAATTGTACATTGAGTATTAGAATAAGAGGAATCAAAAGGTTTTGTTTAGCTTGAGGTGTTGGTGGTACTGCCATTTACTGAGATACGGTAGACTGACAGAAGAGTGAGAAGGAACTTAATAACACTGGTCATACTAAATTTGAGATGTCTGTTTGACATTTTTGCTCTGAAGTATGTTTTACGTCTTTATAACTACTGAGATTCTAATTCCATATCTTTTTATAGCTTCTCTAGGGAAAAGGAGACCTTCTGCCTACCTTATTTTGTTTGTACAAAAGCACACTAAAATTGTATGGATTTCATTAGGCCACAACTTGCGTTCAATTTTTTTACTCTCCGCTTCCCTCTTTTACTTGTTTATTTCACTTCTGTTCACTATCAGTTGCTCTGTCCACTTATGATAGTCAGTTTTGGCAGGTTACTCCTCTGTATTCATTTATTCAGTCAACAGATATTTATTGAGCACCTACTAGGTTGCAGCCCTGGCACTGCACTTAGACGCACAATGGTGAGGGAGAAGAAACCAGTTTTTTTCATAAAGTGTCCAGTCTAGTGAGGAAAGTAAAAAAAATAAAATAATCATACTCTTAAATGTAAAATTACAATTGACAAGTACAGCAGTGGTGAATTGTTGATACAAGTTGAACATCCCAAATTTAGAAATCTGAAATACTCCAAAATTTGAAACTTTTTGAATGCCAACATGACCCGCTTAAGAAATGCTCATTGCATCCATTCAGATTGTTGGATTTGGGATGCCCAGTGGGATAATTTAATTTGCAGATATTCCAAAATAAAAAAGAAATCTGAAACCTAAAACATTTCTTCTAGCTTTAAGCATTTCAGATAAAGGACACTTAACCTGAAATCATGAGAATTGGATCTAATCGGGGTGGTTTGAAGGGTGTATTAGGGAACAGAAGGTGGAGAGGCAGTGCTTTCCAAGCAGAGAGAATAAAATAGGGGAGCACAGCATGTTTGGGGAACTTAAGGGAGGACAATATAGTGTCAGCAAGGAGAGCACTGCAAGATGATACTGCCGGTGACATCAAATTTATTTCAGAAAAGGTCAACAGCCAGGCATGGTGGCTCACGCCTGTAATCCCAGCACTTTGGGAGGCCTAGGTGAGTGAATTGCTTGAGCCCAGGAGTTTGAGACCAGCCTGGGCAACATAGTGAGACCTTGTCTGTACAAAAAAAATAAAAAATGATATGGGAAGATTGCTTGAGCCCAGAAGGGCAAGGCTGCAGTGAGCGGTGATCCTGCCACTGCATTCCCACCTGGGAGACAGAATGAGACCCTGCTGCCCACCCCCCTACCCCCCAAAAAAAGATCATTAGCTGCTACATGGAGAGAGCTTCAGAGGGGCAAAAGATTATCCAGTTAGGAGACGAGTGGACTATAGCACAAAGGTGATTAATGGTAGCTAGCTTGTTCTTATAAACTTACTTTTAATATTCTACCTCCTCTTTTCTCTCTGGCGGCTCTAACAAGTTACTTACTCTCTCATACATTTCTTCATTTTTGTACTGCACTTGTTCATATCTAGTTTTAACCAAGTGGATTCCTTCACCCATGTTTTCTCCCATTTTTCCTGAAATAACTTTTTTCTGACTTTCTAATATACATATACAAGTACTTTAGTTTGATTTCCTTTTCATAGTCTGTCTTCCTTTGTGGACCATGTCGGTTAGGTTGAAAAGAGTGATGCTAAACTGTTGCTTGCAATGTTCTCTGCAGATACCAGCAAACATGCTTCTGCCTCCAGATGAAAAGTGTTTTCCGTTTCCCCTTAGCCAGTCTTTTATGTTATATATAAACTCAGTGCAGAACCCAATCATTTGCCCGTTTTACTGGAGACAGTAAATACCTCACACTGTGTGTTGAACTAAAAGCACAGCTTCTCCCAAATGATCGGCGTTCCATGAAAAATGAACAGGGATTTTAGTTTCTGCCTGCTTAGGTGAATACATCTGTTTTTCTTTTGATTCCATTACTTTTGGAAACTACATCATGATGTTATTCTTTATTTACTCCTTACTTAAGTATGTTCATTTTCTGATTTTATCCCAGTTAAAGTGATAAATAAATTCTGTTTATCGTATGATTTCATGTACTTACTGGAAACAATAAAGTAGAACTTCACTTGGAAAGAAAGTGATTTTTAAGCAAAGTGCAGTAGGTCATGCTTGTTGTCCTGAGATAACAGTTTGGGAGGCCAGGGCATAGAATCACTTGAGCCTAGGAGTTCAAAACCAGTCTTGGCAACATAGTGAGACCCCATCTCTTCAAAAAAATGCAAAAATTAGCCAGATGTTACAGCATGTACCTGTAGTCCCAGCAACTCAGGAGGTTGAGGTAGGAGGATTGCTTGTTGTTCCAGCCCAGGAGTTTGAGGCTGCAGTTCATGATATTGCACTTCAGCCTGGGCGACAGAGCTGGGAAGAAAGAAGGAGAGAGGGAGGTAGAGAGGGAGGGAGGTAAGAAGAAAGAAGAGATAGGAAAGGAGGAAGGAAAGAAAGGAAGGAGAAAAGAAAGTGATTTTTCACTAGAAGTGTTTTGAGAATATGACCTCAAAAGTCAGAATGCTGAGGTTCTACATCTGGCTCTACTACTTATTAGCTGTAGGATCTTGGATAGATTACTTAACCTCTGTTTTATCAGCTGTAAAACAAAGATAGGAATTGTAGCTAAAAAATAATAATTGTAGTTACCTTATAAGATTGCCATGAGGATTGAGGAAATATATATTACTTAAAGCAATTCCAGGCATATAATAAGCATTCCACGTTACTTGGTATTATTTCTTTTCTTAGCAGATAGAGAAAAGAAAAAGAACTTCCTTTCCTTGCTTGTCTTCTCTTTTATTTGAATTTTAGTTTGCGTTGTTTTTCCTTCACTGACTACTTTTTTTCTAGACATTAGCTGATTTTGACCAGTGTTGTAATGAGAGAGGAAAGAGAATGAAATAACATACTTCGTATGTCTAGATTTTCATAAGTTGATTATTCCTATTGCTATTAAAAAAGTATGTTGAATATTTGAGGAACTTGAGGTATGGAAGGGTTGTTGAGTTAGCGGGGAAGTCAAACTGTAGCCTGGGAACCGACTTAATAGCTTTCTTCAGCATTTCCTTCCTCTCTCCTTCTCCCCTCTTCCTCATCACTTTGCTTCCCTATTCTTACTCTTATCTCTTTTTCCTGTACCTCTCCCCAAAGGAAGGGGTCACTGAACAAGAGAAGGAAAAATAAGTTATTATGGAGAAGTGTCATGTATTGATGAAACAGCACTTTTAAGAAGGCAAAAACAGAAAGCCACAAATTTCTTGAGGCCCAACTTCAGAAATTTACAGTGTTACCTCTTCTACATTGTATTGGCCAAAAGAACACAGAGCCAGCCCTGACTAAGGGGAGAGGAAGTAGATTCTACCTTTCAATGGGAAGAATAGCAAAGTATTTGCAGCTATCTTTAATCTATACAGCCATGTTTTCTCTCCCATATCTACCTGGTATTTTTTTTTTTCCCATTATTTCAAGTGATAGTATTTCTCAACAGTCATACAGTATTTTAAATGACAATTCTTACAAATTTTCCAAGTTTTGGACAATTTGGGAAGCTAAAGAAAGACAAATGAAATGGGCGACTTAATTAGTAATTTATTTCAAAGATATAGATAGCAACAGAAACAGTCATTACTTTTTTGTTTTTGTTTTTTGAGATGGAGCCTGGGCTCTATCACCCAGGCTGGGGTGCAGTAGCGCCATCTTGGCTCATGGGCTCACTGCAACCTCTGCCTTCCAGGTTTAAGCAATTTGCCTTCCTCAGCCTTCCTAATAGCTGGGATTACAGGTGCACATCTCCACGCCTGACTGATTTTTTGGTATTTTTAGTAGAGATGGGGTTTCCCCATGTGGGCTAGGCTGGTCTTGAACTCCTGACCTTAAGTGATCCACTCACTTCAGCCTCCCAAAGTTCTGGGTTTACAGGTGTGAGCCACTGCACCTGGCCTTATTAACTTTTAGTTGATCGGGAATGGATTCAGGAATTTCTGAAATCCTACAAGTATAAGTATGGAAAAAGGAAGAATGTTAGAAACTTTTCTTTTTTTTTTTTTCTTTCATTTAGTGATGTCTGGGTCTTACTCTTATTTTCATTACTTAAACTCTTAGAACATGTGGTCATACTATTCACAATATTAAAATGAAACAGTATCTTGATACAGAGTACCAATTAATCCATTAGGTCACAGACTGTTAATGCTCACAGTTACAACAAACTTTAAGTTGTATACTTAAGTTATGTTACTTAGAATGCTGCAACAATGAATATCCATTTTTGTGAACTGCAAATGATGGTTGCCATCATCAGATAAAAAAAACAATGACTACAGTTAATGGAAAGTGATAAACGACCTGTGCCATATATCCATTTGACACTAAAAACAGTGTTGCTTTTGGCCCCTAAATTTTTGTCTACCTTAGAGTGTTGTACTTCCCAGAATCTTCTGCATCCATTGGCAAAAATTAGAACCCCATATGCTCTGAAGATTCAGAGTATATGTGGCTTTCAAGGCCAAAATTGGGATAGTCCCAGGCACACTGGGATGTCTGGACACTCTGCCTTGTCCTAGTTTGACAACAGCTACCTTGAAGCCATCTGAAACTATCCTGGAGTATTACGACAACAGCTATACACTAATTGTTTGTTTTATTTGGGGGCGGGGTAAAGGAGGACTTGCTATTTCAAATACATTTTGTACTTTTTGAAGATAGGTTTTTTCCGTCTCCCAAATTGACTGCATTACTGTCTTTGAAACAGAACAGGAGAAAAAAAAAAAAAAAGTGCTGGCATCCAATAGATGATAAATTCACTTTTCATTTTTGATAAAGAGTGGACAACGAGGAACCAGAAATTCTCTTAGGCTTGGAGAATTTAAACTGTTTAATAATCTTGTCTCGTATATGCAAAAATCTTCAAACTTCCTACCCTCACAGCCTCCTACTTATGAAAATGGCACTAAATCCTGGAGACAAGATGAAGGTACTACTTAACTACCATGACCTCTGCTGACTCTGCTATTGTAGAAACCAATAACTTCTCTTTCTCCATAACCCCGGTGGTCACTATTTGAATGAAGTGGGATTCCAAACATTTTGGCATTCAGTATTCTTTCTTCAGTCCAGGTTGGTTTTCATTTTTTAACCACAGGAAATATCAAAGAATGATTTAGTAAGTCATAATAGCACTTAAGTCTGAGGCTCTTCATTAGTTTCTCCTTCACAAGTTTGGAAGGAAGCTCCTCAGTCTCCTTTGCCTTCACTTGATGCTTGAGTCTGTGTTAACTTAAGCTTTTTATGAACCTGTTCATCTTCCCCTTGAATTATGTGTTTGCGCTTTTAAAGTGTTTCTCAAATTTCATTGGTCTGTCTCACAGAATACTGGCACCTTGATGATCCTCTGACTTTAGAGCATAAGGAACATTTGGAACTACTTGTCTCATGCAATCATTTCTCGGTTTAATTTCTGGCTTTAGAAGCTTGTATGCTTCAGCTCGAGGTAACATTTTTTCGGAGATTGTG